TAGGAAGTGTTACGAACAGCTGATCGGATCGGCAAAGCCTGTTTCTGGAATATTATGTTTTTGTTGCTTTTTATGCAATTTTTGCGAAGTCATATGTGGAAGGAAACCGCAACCTTTACATCTTAAGCTGATGGCATAAGATGTAAGTACAACTTCTCCGGTTTCATATGGAAAAAAATTTTTGCGCTAGCTTATGTGGTTGCAGTGCTACCTGGATTTAAAAATAGTTACGCAAAACGGAGCGTGCCCGCTCCGACCGGCTTTAAAGGGTTAAGCACTATAATAATTAATTATTAAAAGGTGTGGACCGACACGTTCACTCTATGTAGTTTATCAGGAAATGAGAAATATATTTTATTTCTCTGTTGAACAATACAAGATGACTTCAAAGCACATAAGAGTTCAAAGTGTTTTTAGTTAAGCCAGGTTAAGATCAGCTGACCTTCTGCTCGGATGTCGACGCACAAACTTATGGTTGAGCATTTTTATAGTATACATGGTGAATTCAACTCCAACAACAATAAGTCATCAAGAATGTTCTTTTTGAGAAAAAAAACCTTTTTGGACATTTTAAATTTAATTTAATAAATAATTGAGCCATTTTTCTTCCTTTATTATCATAAATTTGGGCGTTTATTTTGAGTCGCTCCCCCAAACAACAAATCTGCAGCTGCCTGAAATACTCCAGCGCCCACCTGACTATTTTTCTGCTTTTTAACTGAAAGTTTACAAAGTGTTATTTTTTAAAGCTTTGTGCCTTCACTAGGCTTGAAGCGACATGGGATTGGGTGCTGCGGAAAGGTTAGGTAACATGGGAAGCACTGAGAGATGGGCTAAGGTTGTGCTGACACATCCAGCAAAAGAATAGCCTCTCTGTTTTGACTCGGATCATTGAGTTGCTCAGCGAGGCTGTCATCACAGGGGACCCTAGCAGAAGAATGCAGGTTTGATAAAAGTTGAACCCAGCACTGGCACTTTTTTTTGGCAATACTGGTCAACCCTCCAGCTATCAAAAGTGTACAGAGTTGGTTAGAGTTCTATGTTATGTGTTATAAAAACACTGGAGGATCATATTTTATTCATTTTTTCATTTTTTGATTTGAACAAAAGCAGAGTTTTGGGTTATTTTGGATGGCTTCATTGTTCCTGCCTTATCTGTTGAGCATGTGGAATATGGCAACAACACTTATGGTTATTAGTCTCTAACTTTATTAAAAATTATTCTACACTTCTGAAACAAATAAAAAACACAGAAATTACTGATAAACAGGCCAATGTATGAGTGCAAAGCGCAAAGAAAAGCGAAAGAGAGCTAAGAAGAGTGAGAAGCGTCTGCAGGGAATGCTGAATGAACTTTGCTATTAGTGCAGCCTGCCCGTATCAGACACATGACATTCTGCAGTCAGCCCTTTTGACTGGGCAGATGGTAAAAAAACAGAAAGGGGAAAAAAAAGTCCCACTTGATTTCCTTCAGGGAAAGCTGTGAATTAAAATCATTACAAGGGAAGTCAGGGCAGTAACTGACAGACCTTTCATGATTAGGGACTATCAGAGAGTGGGTCTGTTGAAGAGCTGCAGTCTCACAGCAACAGAGGACTTGCAGGCACATAATCTCATGTCCTCTGACAGAGTTTAACTCACAGAGCAGCTCCTTTTAGGCCGCTTACCTATTGATTGCTCTGAAAAGCTTCAAATGTCTCCTTTTTTAATAAGGTGCATCAGTGTATTCCTCAAGTGGTGCATCAACAAGTATTAAAGAAGTATTTAACATTATGTAAAGGTGGAGGGGAAAAAACACTTTTTTGTTCCATTTTAAAAACACCTCCAGCTATTGTGGCGTTATCACATCGTACAAATCCCATCAAATGTTTCACTATGCTTCATTTAAGAGGAAAAATAAAGAAATTGAGGGTTTTTTTGTTGTTGTTTTTTTTTTAAACGGGAAGGGAGGGAATGCTGGAGGGCAAATTGCTAAAGTGTGGATTCCCACGTGGCAGCAGGATTCAGTTGGAAACAGAGAGCGGAGAAAGGCTGGTATGCTGGCGTGAAATTGTGCTGGTGGGCATCGAATGGCTGCAGGAGTGTGGACCACTTTGAGGGTCTGCTAATCAGTAGCACACAGACACATGAGCCGACTCACTGCTGTGCCGCGGGATAAACGCTCCCGCGGCCGCACCAGCCACCGGCAGCCTTTATTACCCGACAGATAACCTGCCCACATCCAGCAAAAAAAGGAAAAAAATGACAGTCGGGGAAGTGGAGCACTGGAGACTTTATAGATGACAGCATGGTCACAGATCATATGGGCAAGAAAAGTGAGCTCAAGGTTAAGAAGTATGAGGCTATGAACTATAGATGAAGGCATGGGTCTGGGCAGGTAGAGCTGCGGCTGATCATAAAAAGTTCCCTGTCTGACAGATAAGGAGAAGTGAGTGGAAAACAGTATGTCACGGTTCTGAGGGAAGAGCTGCAGAAAGAGAAAGTGGGAAGACATAAAAACAAAGAAGACGCTGCAGTGTTACAGCGAGATAATAAGCAGCAGAGTAAGGGAACAATAAAGATTGCTGAGGCAAGCAGGAGTGTGAAAGCACAGCAGACAAAGAGTCAGGAAGGTGCGCTGTACCTCCGTAACGGGGCGGGGGTCCGCAGAGCAGAACAACAGCCTGACCCTCTCTCACCGACACCGTGTTCCTCGTCTTGCTGCTGAAGTTCTGCAGAACTGTTGAGCGCAAAACACATCAATAACTTTTCAGGGTCTGACAGCTGCAATAACTTATTTTACGTGCGGGCGACATCCGAGGGAAGGGCGTTTTAATCCCGCACAACATTTCCCAGTTTGTTCATATCGCTTACAAGTCGAACCCAACAGCCCCCTGTTCATATCACGGCATGCGCTAGAGACCAGGCAGAGGGTACACCAAAATGCTCCTCTTCAATCGCGCGTTAGAGATTACTTTCACCTTTAATTAAATGCTGCTGTGCTGCGTGAGACATTAAGCAGTGGGGAGACATATCAATTCCAGCGTCAGAGAAATACCATCAAGTCCCGGGAGGGGAGCAAGCAAATATCAGCGGTTGTCAAACCAGAAATCAACTGATTAAAAGTCCCTCCAAATCAAGACGTGCAGGCTTCATTCCTTCATGCGTTGCATCAGAGCTGCAGACTAGTGCACAGCGGTAACACACTTACTGTAACTGCTGTCATCCGTGTAACACTACTTTTTGTTTTTTGTTGCATTTACTTTTGACATTTTCCAGGTTTAAAAAACAACAGAAAAAAAATTGATGCTGTGCATTAATTAGGTTTTAAAAACCACTAAAGAAGGCAAACAGGAAATGCACTGTTTGACCAAAACAGGAAGTGTTAGACAAAAACAAGACTGGCAATCTCAGTAGCTAAACAAGTGAACAGCTCTTTTTCTGGCAATACTTTACCCTATCCAGTGGAAATATAGTAAGGCCACCAAGTTGTTTCTTTTTTGGTTGCTTCTTTTATGCTCAGTCACACTACAGAAAAAAAAATGATGGAAAAATCAGTGCTTGCCTGGTGATTTTTCTGCATGTAGCTGCAGCGACCAACTGGTCAACCAGAAGTTGAGCTTACAACACCCTCAACCTCTGGACAATCACTTTCAATCACAAGGGGACACAGGTTGCATGGTGTAAGGCAGCCTGACTTCTAACAATCATGGTCCGACTGCAGTGAAACAGAGTCAGTCTGCACTGATGAGCTCAACTCGTCTGCTACACATCTCTTTGCAACAGTTGAATCAACTCAGTTGTTTACCAACGGGCTTTAACAGCAAGGTTTTCGAGCAGCTATGCAGTCCTGTAGCAACTACATCGCTATTTGTTTCTAATATAAGAGGTAAGAGTTGCCATAAATCTGGTCGTGGCGTGGTCACCAACCACAGTTTTAATTAGTGAGTATGAGCCGCCTTCATCCAGTACTTTTGTTAAACTTCTTTGGGCATGTCTTACCTCTACAACAAAGAGAAGTTCAACCCCACAATGTGGCGGGGCGTGGTCTGGACATAACTGCGGATACCGTGCAGGTGCGTGCGCCTTCCCAGCACGGCATTCGCAATCATGTCCCGTCTTAAAATCTGTACTGGTTCCTGTTTTGAGTGTTGTTGTTGGAGTGGTCGGCTGAGCTACGAAACTGCAGCCTTGTGTGTCTGTGAACAGCAACCGAGTGTGTAGATAAAAGTTCATGCTGAAAAGCATGTATGTGTCGTCAGGTCTGCCGTGGGTTCTTTATAGGGCTGGGCTATATCATACCGTTCACGGTAATACCGGTGTAATGTTGGGCAACGATGGGAAAATGAAATATCGCGATAGAATATGGGTAAAACGCGCATGCACAGTGCCTTTATTTACATACGCACATGGCGGCGACGCAGAATGAGAAGAGCGAAAGTGGATCGTTGAATGAAACGGATGAACCAGAATTGGTTTGTAAAAATGCTGCAACTTCAGTGGTGTGGAACTGGTTTAGCTTTCGTCCGTCAGATACACAACAAAGCACTATTTTTGGTAGCGCATGCTAGCGGGCCGTCGTTATTACCGTGTTGTTTGGAAAATACGGCACACTTAAAATCAATCCTTTGATTTTTCTGAAAGTCGACAGAGCCCCTTATAATCCCGTGTGCCTTATGTATGAATTCTGGTTGTGTTTACTGACCTGGAAACGATTTTATGTACACGGCGCTCGAACATCTGTCAACTGTTTTAGTACGACTTTGCTAAGCTAGAGCCCGCACCGCTTGATGGATTGTCGGAGCTTACGGGTATCGAGGCAGGCGCCTCGCGGAGTGATACGTACTGTGCTTCAACATAATATTACCGTATTGTGTGTGTATAACCTCTTTTTACGTTTTGTGGATATTATACATGGTTATGCTGAGGATATGTCGGCCAGTTTCCACTGGAAATGCCTTTTGGTTAAACTGTCAGCAAGGAATTTGCATTTGCACTGTTAATTTTTTATATAACTTTAATGCACATAAAAACAGCTGCTTGTTTAAGTGAAAACACATTGATGTTTGTTTGTTTTTTGCACTAATAAAGTTTAGGAGTTGTAAAGTATTTTGTCTCGTGTCAATTATATCGTCAGTTATATCCTTATCGTAAATTTTCAAATGTATATCGTGATAAATATTTTTGGTCATATCACGCTGCTCTGGTTCTTTACACACAGTTTTTTTTATCAGTGATTAATTATTAAAAAACAACTTTGCAAACAAAGGCCAGAACAGTTACATCAGCAAACTTGAATTTGTTAACTTCACAGCTAATTCTTTTTTAATCTGACTCCGTTTCATTGGTCGTCCACGCTGGACCTGCAGAGGCTACACACCTTGTTAGCAGTGCACCACAACATTTGGCTTATTGCCATACTTAGAAGTTGGCAGATTAAACATGATAAACTTCTCATCAGAGAAGCTTCTGTGGGTCTGAAATAGCTGTTTAATGACCACAAAGCTTACAATATGCTATATTGATAATATTGTACTGGATTTAAATATGTTTTATATGGAACACTTAGAGGGACATCACAACTATCATCTAACAAATTTACTAGCAAAGCATTAAGAGTAACACGAGTATAAAAACTGGGATCAGATTTCAATATTTCTGAATATCTTACCATTCAAATAAGGAAAAACAGCCAAAAACAACCATTATCTCTGTCCAGTATCATGTTCTTGCCCAGAACAGAATACAGAACACTTCTGGGGTTTAGACTCTTGGCCTGACGAATAAAATATTTTTCACCATCTCCTGACATTTTCAAGACCAAATAAATCAAATGATTAACCAGGGAAATTCTAATAGAGATAAATGGAATTACTCATCGGTCGCAGCCCCACTCTAACTGTTTTGCATTCCGTTGAGTCACACATAATATCACACCGAGTCAAAGTGGGGTGGGAGAGTGGGATTTTTCTTCACTGCTGTGACAGTATATGCATATTTAAAAAAAAAATCAGAATCAACTCACATGCAAACTGGACTTTTGCCTCCCTGCTGACGACAGTCCCGAATGTGTTGGTGGCAATGCACTGATACACTCCCCCGTGATTGATGACATGAGGGTTACTGATCAGCAGGTTCCCCTCTACAAGGCTGTAGTTTAGATCTGAGTCCGTGTTTATGTCTCTTCCATCTACCTTCCACCTGCACAGACAGACTGATGAAGACTGAGGCATTGGCACCATCAATGAAAAGTGACGCTGGCCAAGAACATGTAGCTTTCCTGCTTTTCCAGAAAGCATCGCACAAGGAGACCAACGAATAAACACAAATACTTGTAGTGAACGACTGCATTAAAATATAAATGGGTTCTGTAAATTTGATCCCACACGCTGTAGTCTCACTTTGTAGATAAACAAAAAGCTGTCAAACCACTCACCTATAACGCGGAGGTGGGTTCCCTTTTGCTTTGCAGTTAATAAACACCTGCTTATCATCAGTGCTCATTGGGAAAATACTGTCGCTAGGCTCCTGGGTGAAGACGGGACCATGGCGTGTATTCTCTGCAGAGAGAGAACAAAAAACAAGAAAAATACAATGAAAAAAAAGCACTCATTGCTCAGAAAACTGTGTGTGAACTTAACACCTATTGTAATTAGCTGCCAACATGGCTCCTTGAGCAGATCCTGCATTTAATAAACGTTCTCGTGCACATGTCATGAGGCAGATAATACATTATGATGAAAGAGCAATTAACCAAAGATAGCCCTCAAGCGTTTTGGCTAGCTGACTGAGTTTTTCCTCCTCTCCCGTCCTCATTCTTACACATCCACAGTTATGATTGTAAATCTGTGCAGCACATAAATACATTTGAGTAACACATGGCTGAAATGTTACTACTACCATTACTACTACTAATAATAAGAAGAACAAGAACAAGAAGAAACAAAATGCATCATCATTAGTAATCATATCATTGGTCAACATGTTTTCAGTGGTATATATGGTATGTATTTCACTGGTGCTACTTCTATGTGTCACAATGCTTTCAACAGTGTACTGTGAAAGGAAATAAAATCTATTGAGGCGTATTTTCATATGCTTTAAAAAACATGTTTCTTTATCTCGCAGCTTTACAGATTTCCTTTCCTTTTGATTTGAAACTTGATACTTGAAACATTCCAATTTGTTCTGATTTCATGAAAAGTGGACGAATAGTTTAGTGCCGAAAATTTAGCCGACAAAATGTATTTTAGCCATTTCTGGTCTCAAGCTGACAAAGTAGCATATCATAAAAATCAGAGTC